ATCATTGTACTTCTACGTTCCGGTTACGTATTGCTTGTGGATATAGTGTGTTTGGAGGTGGTGTGTGGATCATAGTGTGTTTGGAGGTGAGGTGTGTGGATATAGTGAGTTTGGAGGTGAGTGTGTGTGGATATAGTGTTTGGGTGAGGTGTGTGGATATAGTGTGTGTTTGGAGGTGGGGTGTGTGGATATAGTGTGTTTGGGAGGTGAGTGTGTGTGGATATAGTGTGTTTCCCTCCTCCTCCTTCCTCCCTCTCTTCTCTTCTCTCCTTCTCTCTCTCCTCTTCTATCCTTCACCTTCTCTTCCTTCCCTTCCCTCCTCCTCTTCCCTCCTCCCTTTCCCCACCTCCCTCTTCCATATTCATGCATGTAGAGACCAACAGGCAGGCAGGTGGCTGGGGTCGTCTGCCCCCTCCACTCACACGCCACCCATTGCCGCCATTGCCACTCATTGCCTTCCATCGCCGCCCATTGCCGCCCATTGCCGCCCATGAACGTCATGGGAAAAATGTGTTGATTCGGGTTCATGATAAATTTGTGAATGGAATAGAAAGTTGTAGGGTTGAACGGCACGTGTTATAGGTCGACCATCTCCCCCTCCTCCCTACCCCTTCCCCTCTTCCCTTACCCTACCCCCTCCTACTCCTCCTCCCTCTTCCCCCTACCCTCTACCCCTTCCACTCTTCCCTACCCCTCCTCCTCCCCTACCCCTTCCCCTCTTCCTTGCCTGTCCCCTCCTCCTCCTCTCTCTTCCCCCTACCCCCTACCCCTTCCACCTCCTCCCTACCCCTCCCTCCCTCCTCCCCTCCTCCCCCTCCCTCCCTCCCTCTTCCCCTCCTCCCCTCCCCTCCCTCCTCCCTCCTCCCTCCCTCCCTCAAAAAGAATTTGTGTCCTATTGGTGAAAAATAAAATAAAAATATCCACTTGACGATAAGATGACGTACACAGGTGTCGGTGGTGTGGATAGAGGAATTAGTGTGGATATTTATTTGTGCGTTGCTTTACTTGGTTTATATGAGGAGGTGAATGACCTCTCGAGGGGGTATGCAGTGTAGAGGATGTTGGATGTTATTTTGGTCTCTCTCTCTCTTTTTCTCTTCTCTCTTCTTTCTCTCTTCTCTCTCTCTCTCTCTCTTCTCTCTCTTTTCCACTTCCTCCCCCCTCTTCCACCACCTCCCTCTTCTCACCTCCTCTTCATCTTCTTTCCCTCCCCTCTTCCTTCCTCTCCTCTCTTCCTTCCTCTCCTCTTCCTTCCTCTCCTCTCTTCCTTCCTCTCCTCTCTTCCTCCTCTATCCTCTCCTCCCTGTTCCTTCCTCCCTTCTTTCCATGGCACTTAATTCACTTCCTGGCCTAACAACCCGTCTTTACCGTCCTAGTGTCGTCACCTGACTCGTCTTCCTCTCATCTCCAGGTGACCCTAGTTGGTCTTGTCACCTTTGGCGGCTAGCAATCTCTCTCTCTCTCTCTCTCTCTCTCTCTCTCTCTCTCTCTCTCTCTCTCTCTCTCTCTCTCTCTCTCTCTCTCTCTCTCACCTGGGCATCACACGAGAGTCTAGGTATACCTGTGCCCTCCCCTCCTTCCTCCTCGTTAACTCCTCAGGTATCTGTCTCTACCTGCCTGCCCCTCACCTGTCCTTCAGTAGGTGGAGAGGGGGTGAGTTAGTGAGAGTGAGGGTGAGAATAAGAGAAGAGAGAAGAGAGAGAGAGAGAGAGAGAGAAGAAGAGAAATATAAATTCATCTAAAACAAAAAATATGAAATGAAATAAAATATAAATAAAATAAAATAACTGCAAACCCATTTGGACCACACACTTACCCATGCTGGTGTAAACAAAAACAAAATAGTAAGGACCTGTTTTTTTTTTTTGTTTTTACATAGACACAGTTATCAAAAACACCGATTTTATTTATTTTCTTTTTTTTTTTCCGGTCTATCGTTCGCCTTCAAATAAAAAAATCTGTTCCTTGTTTTTTTTTGGGGGGGTGAGTTTGTGTGTGTGTGTGTGTGTGTGTGTGTGTGTGTGTGTGTGTGTGTGTGTGTGTGTGTGTTGCCTTCTCTCTCTTTCCTGCCCTTCTCTCCCCTTCCCTGAGGGTTGAACTATCCACCTGTCTCCACCTGCTCACCACCCTCCTCCACCTCACTCACCTTCTCCACCACCCTCCACCACCTACCTCCTCCACCTCCCACTCCACCTTCTCCACCACACTCCACCTCCCTCCTACCTCCACCTCCTCCCCTTACTCCATTCCACTTAAGCTTTCACTGTGGAGTTAGAACAGCTCTTGGTAGGATCAGTAATTCAGCACTAGCTTATTGACTGGTAGGTGGAGTGGAGTGGAACGAGTGGGGTAGGGCGCTAGATATGAGAGGGTTAGCCAATGCATACCAATGTGTGGTGGGGGACTCTCTCTCTCTCTCTCTCTCTCTCTCTCTCTCTCTCTCTCTCTCTCTCTCTCTCTCTCTCTCTCTCTCTCTCTCTGTATCTTGATCTCAGTAATCCAGGCTTTAACGAGTGCCTTTTACGTTACACCTTGACTCATACTTTTATAGGATTTAAATAGTGTTAAAAAGCCTTGGTTGGTCTTACGGGTATTATAAGTCTGATTATTTTAAGTCTTAATTGCCAGTGGTGGGGATTAGCGTCTTGGGGTTAATTACACCGTTGTTGGATTATCGTCACGGTATTGAATAACCTTTTGGATGTAATTATTTTCACCGGTTTTTTTTTATCCAGATGTGAATTATTGTATTTGTGGATTATTATTATTATTAGTTTGTTATTATTATTTTTTTTTCTGGTTTATGTGTTTAATCGTTAGGTTAGTTAGGTTAGGTTGTTAGATGGTTTACTTAGACAACATGATGGAATTTTTCTCTTTGTGATTTATTTATTTACGGCTGTTAACCTGGTCAGCCTAACCTAACCCGACCTGATCTTTTTTACTTGGATTAATTATATAGATATTTGGATTATATTTACTATAATTCCCACCAAATACTATACAAATTGACGTCCTATTTAATTGATACTCATTATAGTAATTACACTGCAATTACACTGCCTAAGTATAGGTCGGTCGCCCAGAATAGTGAGTGTGTGTGTGTGTGTGTGTGTGTGTGTGTGTGTGTGTGGTGAATTTGACAGGTGAAACCATTCATTACCTGTATTTACTCATCCTAATACTGCTCTCTCTCTCTCTCTCTCTCTCTCTCTCTCTCTCTCTCTCTCTCCCTCCTAGTTATTTAATTCCATCCTTTTTATAGATGTGCATACAGTAAGCCGTGGCTTAAGGTTCAACATACCTGGACGTCTACCTGGGTCATACCTTAATTACCACCGGGACATGTTACCTGTATCATAATTAATACGAGTTTGTTTGGGTTATAACTTATGCACTTAAGCTGATGGTGTGTGTGTGTGTGTGTGTGTGTGTGTGTGTGTGTGTGTGTGTGTGTGTGTGTGTGTGTGTGTGTGTGTGTGTGTGTGTGTGTGTGTGTGTGTGTGTGTGTGTGTGTGTGTGTGTGGTCCGAGACATTTATTATTATTATTATTATTATTATTATTATTATTATTATTATTATTATTATTATTATCATTATTGTTATTTAGGTGAAAGTCCGTTACAGCGAGGGTCCGTTAGATATGAAACCCTTCAATTAACG